TGGCCTTGTCCTCGGCTGGCATGGGGCAGGCGTGTTACCCACCCTCATGTGTCCCTTGGTGGTCGGGTCCCCCGCACAGCCTGGTGTGCCGGGGCTGCCCCGCCACCATCGCCACCTCTGTCACTGGTCAGAGCCGCGTGGAGCTACCCGCATCCGGCCAGCTGCCAAGCCAGCCGTGCCGCGTTCCTCCTGAACGCCTGCCAAGGGGATGCCCCCCCAGCGCTTCTGAGCATCCTGGCCTAGCCTTGCCCGCTGGTGGCATCGTGCGTGCCTGGGCGCTTGATGCGACGGAGGTGGAGAGCCCTGCGCTGTTGGTGGTGCGGCAGCGGGCCGCGAGCCGGAGGGGGCCCGGCCCCGGGGGCCTGGGCTGCTATAAATAACTGGTGATATCATCGCTGTCCCCAGCAGCGGCGCGCGTGGCTGGGCAGCGCCCTCCCGTGGGCACCCGCTGCCTGCTGCCCTGCAGCTCCTGGCACACCTTCCTGCCTGGCACTTGTCTCTGGTGCCTGTCCTCTCCTCCAGCCCCTGCCAGGTCTGGGCAGCAGCGTGTGGGGCACGAGCTGATCCTCTTCGTCTCGAGGGTGCTGAACCCACATGCTCTGCTGCATTGTTCCGTGTCCGAGGAGGAAGCTGGAAGAGTTGGCTGTGCATGGCTGTTGCTCTGGCAGGCACCTGAGCTGGGCCGGGTCCCTTTGGGTACCCATTGCCCACCTAGCAATTCCAGGGGCCACGATGGGCACAGCTGGAGCGGGGGAAGGCAGCTGGTGGTGACCTGGGACGAGCATTCGAGGTGGCTCTCAGCAGTGCCCATGTGGGCCCTTTCTCCTTTTGCCAGGTGCTGGTGCCCACCCGTGTAGGGCAGGTGTACGTCTACGACTCCCCGAAGGGCGAGCAGGATGAATACGACTTTCCTCGGCACCTGCTCCCGCTGGGCTCCCAGGAGATCTACGATGTTCCCCCGGTGCGTGGGGGGCTCCCGAGCCAGCTCAGCCAGGAGGTGAGTCCTGCACCGGTGGGGCTGCTCGCCTGCCTTTGCCTCCCCCAGGGCAGGAAGCTGGTGCCTCTGCCCTTCCAAGTAGCTCCCTGCTCCTCCGGGAGGAGGTAGACGCTCAAGCTCTTCCTGACTCCCTGGCCTGTCCTCCCCCAGGTATATGACACTCCACCCATGGCGGTGAAGGGTCCCATGGCACAGGAGCCCGGGCAGGAGATCTACGACGTGCCCCCCAGCGTGGAGAAGAGCCTGCACCAAACTGTAAGTGCTACTGGGAAACCCAGCTGCCCAGGGCCACCAAAGGGGACATGGGAGGCGGGAGGCACCATGGCCTCAGCACTGCAGCTGTGCCAGCCCCCTGGGAGACAGCACATGCATGGGGCATGCACATGCGGCCGCAGGCTGTCTGGCACCCTCGCAGGCTCTCCCTCGTGCACACGCGTGTCTGCAGGGCCAGGCCACCTTCCCCTGGCACACGGGGCTGTCTCAGCCCTGGTGCACCCCACCGCGTGCGGGGCTGGCGACGGGCAGCCGCAGTGGCGCGTGGAGCCTGGGTGCCACTGTCAGGGCCCTTGCAGGTGTACGACATCCCGCCCTCTGTGAGCAAGGACGTGCTGGATGGCCCCGTGCGGGAGGAGACCTATGACGTGCCGCCCGCCTTTGCCAAGCAGAAGGCCTTCGACCCCTCCAGACACCCCCTCATCCTCACACAGCAGGAACCCTACCTGCCGGAGGATGTCTACGATGTGCCACCGGTGGCTGGGAAAGGAGTGCCCGAGCCAGTGCTCTCCCACGAGATCTACGACGTGCCCCCTAGCCTCAAGAAGCTGGGAGGGGCGGCCTTCAGCTCCCAGGAGGTGTATGATGTGCCCCGGGACTTGCATGCCCCCGGCAAGGGCTCAGTGGACACCGAGGGTGAGTACATCTACGACGTCCCACCGCAAGTGGATCGTGAGACCAAGGCCACTGACATCAAGCGTCTCTCGGCCTCCAGCACGGGCAGCACCCGCAGCAACATCTCCACATCCTCCCTGGACGTGGTGCCGGTGAAGGAACCGGCCAAAGGGGCTGGCAAGGAGTTCTCCTTGGACTTGGACGCTGCCATGGAGGTGCTTGCCAAACTCCAGCACGCTGTCACTGGTGCTGTCTCCTACCTCATGTCCTTCATCAGTGCAAACTGGCGCAGCCCTGAGCACATGGAGGCGAATGCTGCCAGCATCCATGCGGCAGCCGAGGGCGTCCAGACAGCCCTCCGGGACCTGCTGGAGTTCTCCCGGGGGGCAGTGGGCAACGCTGCCCAGGCCTCGGACCGCTCCCTCTACACCAAGCTCAGCAAGCAGCTGCAGAAGATGGAGGAGGTTTACCAGGCCCTGGCTCGGCATAGCCAAGCTCTGGACACTTGTCACTGGGCCCCTAGCGCTTTGGTTGGAGGCAAGGCGGGCACCGATGACTTGGAGCTCTTTGTTATGTACTCCCGTGGTGTACCCGATGACACCAAGCAGCTGGCCTCTTTCTTGCATGGCAATGCCTCCCTCCTCTTCAAACGGACAAAGCAGGCATCAGAGGGCAATTGCCATGGGCCCTCTCACCCCTCTGACAAGGCCAGCAGCATTCAGTCACGGCCCCTGCCCTCCCCGCCCAAGCTGCTGGCACAGGAGTCGCCCGATGGGCCATACGAGAACAACGAGAGTGGCTGGATGGAGGATTACGACTATGTCCATCTCCAGGTGGGCACAGGGATGCAATGGCAGGGTGTAAACCATGTGAGGTTGGGCTTGGTCCCCTGCATTGCCACTGGGTGGGTTTTGTGTCTGTAGTTTCCCATGGCCTGGTGCAGGCCCTGCACTGACCACAGGGGCAATTCTGCCCATGCCCAGGCAGATGTGTGCCTCATATTCCCAGGTCTTGCTTTTACCCTCCTGCCCGAAGGCTGAGGCAGTTAGGGTCATCCCAGTATTGGTGGGAGCTCATTCTGGGAGAGGTTTGTGTTGCCTTCCCTGTATCATGCAGTTTCTTTCCCTGAAGGGCAAGGAGGAGTTTGAGAAGACCCAGAAGGAGCTGCTGGAGAAAGGCAACATCATCCGGCAGAGCAAGGACCAGCTGGAGCACCAGCAGGTAACAGAGCTGTGGCGGGCAGGTGTTCCTGCCCTGCGTGGCACTGGGCACAGCTCATCGGGTCCCTCGCTCAGAGGATACAGTGACCTTCAGTCACCTTTGGTGTCCAGTCTGGGCCATGTCTCCCTCTCTGTGGCTGTCCACGTGGTGACATCTAGCATGTCTCCCATGGCTGCAGTGTTCCAGCAGTGAAGGGCTTCAGTACTTTGCTCCTGCAGAGGAGCCCAGTGCAGCCATCTGGTACCTGGGGGCTGGCACTCTCCTGTGCCTGCTTCCCTGGGACGTGGCTGGGCTCCTTGGGGCCACCTGGCTGCAGCACTTGACTCCCATGTTGGCAGCCACAGCAAAACCAGACCCCTTCTTCGGGGCTGTGCAGCCCCGGGGGATAACGCACTGCTTTGAAGGCTGTCCTGCCCTGGCTGTGCACCCTCACCCCTGTCCTTTCTGCAGCTGAAGCAGTTTGAGCGGCTGGAGCAGGAGGTGACGCGTCCCATTGACAACGACCTGTCCAACTGGAGCCCCCCACAGCACTATGGCCTGGCACGAGGCGGCGGGGCCCTGTGTCCTGCCGACCGCCAGCTCCTCCTCTTCTACTTGGAGCAGTGTGAGGCCAACCTCACCACTCTCACCAATGCCGTTGACGCCTTCTTCACTGCTGTCAGCACCAACCAGCCCCCCAAGATCTTTGTGGCCCACAGCAAGTTTGTCATCCTCAGCGCCCACAAGCTCGTCTTCATCGGCGACACGCTGTCCCGGCAGGCCAAGGCCCAGGACATCCGGCACAAGGTCACGCACTACAGCAACCTCCTCTGTGAGATGCTCAAGGAAATTGTGGTGACCACAAAGGCGGCTGCTCTTCACTACCCCTCGCCCGCAGCCTCCAAGGACATGGTGGAGCGTGTCAAGGACCTTGCCAACAGCACGCAGCAGTTCAGGATGGTGCTGGGGCAGCTGGCAGCCATGTGATGGTCCTGGGCTGTTGCCCCCTCCTCATGGCCCTCTTACTGTCTTCAGACATGTGCCCCTCAACAAGAGCCATCTCTGCCTGGTGTAAACAGACCTGTATATAGATAGAGACTCAAATGCACAGTGGGGGTCTAGGACACCACTGAAACAAGTGGCAGTTTTTTCCCCCTCTTCCTGTTCTTTCCCTCTCCAGACAGGGTTTAGGGCTATGCCCGTGGTGAAGCAAAGTCCATAGGTGAAATCATGCCCTTTCCTTCCCTGCTGTCCCCTCTCCACCCAACACCTGCCCTGGCAGGGCAAGGGCTCCTGGGCAGGAGGGCTAGGGCTGTGTCCTGTGCCCGTGAACGGAGTGGGGACTGCACCCAGCGTGGGGGTGATGCTGCGGCTGCTTCTGTCTCCGGGTGGCTTCTGGGCGCTCCCCCAGGGCGCGTTGGGCTGCAGGTCTCAGTGCCGTCCTCGATGCAGCCAGTGGAAATCAAGTGGGGTAACAGCACCGGCAGGAGCCTACGTCCTGCCTTGGGGCAGCCTCTGTGGGGGTGGCTGCAGGGTCCCAGAGTGATGGTGAAGGCTGTGCTGGGCCCGGGGAGGGGGGAAGCCAACTTTGCATTTTCATGTCTTGGGTTTTGCTACTGTATGAGCTGTAACGGAAACGCAAACTGAAATTGGTGCCTTTTGAACAGTGGGGAAGCTTCTCCTGCTTCCCTGAGTGCTGGAGTTGCAGCCTGCCAAAACGCAGCCCCGTGTCCCCCTGCAGCATAAAGATTTGCCTAGAATCCCTGCAGCTCGTGGACGTCTCTGTCGCACAGCCCCAGTGCCCTCTGCTTTGGCCCGCTCCATGGGAGAGCTTTAGCCATCTGGGAAAGCTTCAGCTGTGGCTGGCAGCGCCACAGACCTACCAGGGCAGCTCTGAGCCTACAGGCCCGCCAGGGGTGCCCAGGGCAGGGGCAGGGCTGGGCACTGAGCTGCCCCGGGCCAGGCCGGGCTGCACTGATACCCTTGAGGGGCCTCTCAAAGCAGCCAGGGCCAGGGGGGACACTAAGGTGCCCAGGGATGGGTCTCCGGGGATGGTGGCAGCACCTCCCCAGGCTTCACCTGGCACGTGGTGACCAAGCCCACATGGTGACCAAGCCCGTGTCGTGCAGGAGCGCCCACCGTGTGCTGTGTAGCCCAGCCACGAGTGCTGCCACCCAGTGCAGGTGCCTGCCAGAGCCAGCCCCTGTCTGCAGGATGGTGGCAGCAGGAGGGGCTGTGGGTGGCCCTGGGGCAGGCGCACACTGCCCACACCTGCCCAGGCGCTTGGTAATGTCCTTCCTGCGCTGGCTCTCAGTCAGGATCTTGGGGCTTACAGATGAGGGTGTGAGGGGGGTCTGTATCACCCACTAGTGCCACCCAGGGACCTGGAGCCCCACTCCTGGCCCTGAACTGTCCAGACTGTCCAGGAGCACCACGGATAGGCTGGGAGCGTTTGGATTCATGGTGCTGATGCTCGAGGTGCCCATGGCCACCACACTGTGTGTAAAGCCACCTAGGCCAGCCCCAGCGCTCCTTGGTGTAACAACCAGCACTCCAAGGCCCCGCCTGCCCAGCAGGGCCAAGGTGGGCTGGACTCAGCAATGGTGCCTGTGGCCCGGCCCCTCCACCTTAAGGTGGCTCCAACTTGGCTGCCACCCGCCCAATCCCCATCCTGGCACAAGGAAGCGGAGACCCGCGCTGGGCAGCAACGTTTATTGGCAGCCTCAGTTGGCTGCCAGGATGGAGTTGATCCAGGAGCGCAGCTTGGTGACGCGGGCATAGACGCTGGGCAGTGAGGGCAAGCAGCTGCTGCTGCCCCATGACATGATGCCCACCAGGGTTCAGGCGCCGTCCTTCTGGCACACCAGCGGGCCCCCGGAGTCTCCCTGCTGGTGGGCGGCTGAGCGGGGCGCCCCACCGGGCCGGGCTGGCCGTGGGGGTGTCCGCTGGGGCACCTACCATGCAGGAGGAGGCGCCGTTGGCGCCCGCACACACCATCACGTCAACGATGCGGAAGCCCCAATACTCCTTGCACTGCGCGTTGGTGAGCAGCGGCAGGGCCACCTGCTGCAGCAGCGCTGGGAGTTGGGGCCATGAGCACCTGCCCGCTGCCCACCCGGCAGCACCTTACTTGTGGGGTCGGTGAGGCCCCAGGTTGTGGTGACGCACGTGAGGCCACTGGGGAAGTTGTTGGAGGCCTTGGGCAGGCACACGGCTGAGATGCGGGCAGGGGGTGCTGGGAATGGCCCAGGCGCTGGCCTTGTGCGCCCCGGCCTTGGCAGATAAGCGCAGCCCCTGGCCCCACTGCGGCACCCTGCCAGGACTGGAAAGGCAGGTGGATGCCCCTGCTGCCCAGGCCGCTGGCATGGCATGACCCCAAGCTCTGGGACAGTGATGTCCCCGAGCCTGCAGCCCAGCTGCAGCTCTGCTCCACTGCAAGGGAAGCTGGCGCGGCCCTCAGGGCTGTGCTGAGCAGTGTTGCTCGGCCGTCTCCAGCACTGGGGAGGGGAGAAGGGGGGGCAAAGGGACTAGGGTGCCCAGGACCACCAACCTCGCATTGTGAGCTGAGGCTCATCCACCAGGAAGACCCCAGAGTGCCTGGCTAGGAGAGGGGGACAAGTCCTGCGTGTGCTATACAGGCAGTGCCCACAGAGAGTGGCACAGCACGAATCACCCAGGCTGGGTGCATGTGAGGAAACGCCAGAAGTCTCCAGCGTGATGGCCTCAGAGCAGCATGTGCTGGGCGTGGGGAGATCCCTGGCCAGGCCAGGAGGTGCTTCTGACTGCCTGGACACCTCCTCGTGTCAAACATGCTGCTGGGCATAGGGGAATCATAGAATTGTTATGGTTAGAAAAGACCTTCAAGAGCAAGTGCTGCCGTTTTGCAGAGCAGAGTAACAGAGAGAAGCCAGGACTGAGCAGAGCAAACCCCGTGGCAACCCCTTGGCAGGTGTATCAAGTACCCCAGTGCCAGATGCTGTGGTCCCAGACCCTTTCCAGGAGCTACGGCAGGATGCTACAGAAGGGCCAGGGGCTGCACTTATCTGCCACAGCTGGGGCATGCAAGGCCAGCGCCTGGGCCGTTCCCAGCAGCTGGGCATAAAGGGGCAGTGAGTGCTGGGCTGCCCCAAGACGCGATGGCTCTGCTGTGGCTGCTGGGCTGCCTGGTGCTGGCAGGAGCTGCCCGCACCGCCGACTCCCTGCCCAAGGTGGGTGAGTGGGGTGCAGGGACGCAGGGGAAACGTGGTGCAGGGGGCAGCCAACATGACTGGTGC